TGGTAGATTAAAAGGGAGCCTGGAGAGATAGTTTAGTGGTAAGATCACACACAGGGCTCACAACCACCTGTAACTCCAGCTTCAGGGACGTTTGCCCTCTTCTGGCTCCCCGTGGTGTCAGTCTGTGTATTCCTTAATGCTAAGGAACTGTTCTCTGCAGAACAAATGTTACTACTGCCAGACCTTATTGATTTTGAGACACCATAAAGCCCCAGACTGTCCTCAAAGTCAGGGCCATCCTAGCTTCACCCCCCACCCCCACCCCCCACCCCCCGTACTGGGACTGCAGGTGTGAGCAGCCATGCATGGCCCTGATTGCAGATCTTAGGGAAGTCAGTCAAGGTTAGTAGCTGAGTCCCTGTTTCCTTCTCATAGAAGCAGCTTCAAAAAAGAACTAAAATAATCTGATTCTTAGGTACAGTTTGGACTTTAGCTGTTAAACTTTGGCATGACTCTCCAAGCCTCTGTTTCTTCGTCTTAGGTGTGAGAAATCAGTCTTAATTCATAGGGTTGCTTTAAGGAATCAACAAAACAAGACACACACAAAACACTCAGACCGGGTTGTTTTGGAACAGGATGAGTACTTGATGCACAGTTTAAAACAAAAAGAAAGGGCTGTGTGTGGCTCCATGCACAGGCTTGGTGGGTGAGTGGGCCTGTGTGGTTGTGGGTGGGTCTATGTGGTAGTGGGTAGATCTGTGTGGTAGTGGGTGGGATCTACGTGGTAGTGGGTGGACCTGCGTGGTAGTGGTGGACCTGCGTGGTAGTGGGTGGAATCTGTGTGGTTGCGGGTGGGATCTGTGTGGTTGTTGGTGGACCTGCGTGGTAGTGGTGGACCTGCGTGGTAGTGGGTGGGATCTTCATGGTAGTGGGTGGGCCTTCATGATAGTGGTGGACCTGCGTGGTTGTGGGTGGACCTGTGTGGTAGTGGGTGAATCTACGTGGTAGTGGGTGGACTTGTGTGGTAGTGGGTGGGCCTGTGTGGTAGTCGGTAGATCTTGCTTGAGTGTAGACAACACCTAGAAACAGGCACTTCCTCTAAGGCAAAATCCCTTGGTTCCAGTTAACCCACTAGAATGCATGTATTCCAGTCTTTTAGGATGCTTTTGTCTTCATGTGCTCTCTTTTTCTGTTTTTGAGACAGTGCTTTTGAAGATGAGACACTGAGGCTTCGGCAGCTGAAGCTGGACAATCAGGTGAGCTGGGGCTCTCGGGGGCCGTCCTGGCTGGAGCTGGTGGTCTCGGCTCTGAAGTCATGACAGGGTCTCACAGAAAGACTAGATGGGCAGGATCGCTCGTGGCTGCTCATTAAACAATGTCTGAACTTAGTCGTCAAGCCAAAGGTCTGGGCTATGGCAGGAGCAGGGCGATTTGACGATGTAGCAATTAACTGGCTTTGTTAATAATCAATGAAAACCTCCTGACACCTTCTACAGGAACTAGAAGAATGTTGTAGCCGGGCCTGGTAGCACTAACTGGTAATCCCTGCTCTAGAGAGACTGATCACTGCGAGGTCAAGGTCAGTCTGAGCTGCATAGGGAGACCCTACCTCAAAACACTAAAATATGATAGATAGATAGATGATAGATAGATAGATAGATAGATAGATAGATAGATAGATAGATAGATAGATGAGTAAGTAAGTGAATAAATAAGTAAGAGATGTATTGGCCTGCTGCTTATTGCCATAACAAAATACATGAGACTGGGTACATTATTTTTAAAAAGAAACTTACAGATTTAGAGGCTAAAGTCCAAGATCAGCAGCTTCATCTGGTGTCTGGTGACGCCCGTCTTAGTTAGGCTTCTAATGCTGGGATAAACACCGTGACTGTAATCATCTCACAGCCTGGAGTCCATCATGAAGACAGTTTGCTACAGACTTGCCTAAAGGCACATCTTAGAGAGGCATTTTCTCAACTGAGGTTCCTTCTTCCCAGATGGCTCTAGTTTATACCAGATTGCATAAAACTAGCCTGCACAGCCCCCTTAGCCCTCACAGCCCCCTTAGTTATAACACAGCATGACAGAGACCAACAAGGAAAATAATTGGTACAGGAGAGATGCCATGTGAAAGGGCAGGAAAATAACTTTGTAGGTGGAGACTGCTTGTTCATTTCCCCGCTGCCAAGACCCAAAATAATCACTAACTTTTACATCTTAAATGAATCCATTTCTATTATTTTGTATTTTACCATGAGGCTCGTTTGCCAGTAGGTAAGGTTCTTGTGTGTCTGTCTCCTTCAGCAGCTACATGGCATCTCCCTGACTCTACCTTCTTTCTCCCAGCCTTCAGTTTAGTTTTCCTGCCTACCTCTATTCTGCGCTGCAAAAGACCCGAAGCAGCTTCTTTATTAACCAATGGTAGCAAAGCATATTCACAGCATACAGAGGGGATTCCCACATCATAACTTTTTTTCCTTTTTGGTTTCTTTCGGGGATGCATAGCAGGCCTTAGCTGGCCTCAAACTACAGAGATGCTCCTGCCTTTGCCTCCTAAGTGCTGGGATTAAAGACGTGTCCAACCCTACCCAGCTTTTTGATTCTTGAAATAGATTCTTGCTGTGTTGCCCACCCAGGCCTCAAATTCATAATCCTCCTGCCTCTACCTCCTGAGGACTGGGTTTATAGGCGTATTCCACCACAGCTGGCACTTCTTATGACCTCTTGCTCTTGGAACCAGCTGACACTCGGGGTGGGCGGGGCTTAATCCCTTCCCACAGCAGGCCTGCAGATGATTTATCCCTTCTACCAGGCCATGGCTTTCTCGCACTGCCTTGGAACTTGCTGTGTAGCCCAGGCTTTCTCTGAAGTCAGTCCTCCTGCCTCAGCCTCTCTGGTGCTGGGTTATAACCTCTACCCCCATTTCCCCACCCTTCAGCGTGACTACACTTGACTGCATGGGGCCCTGCTTCAGCATGTGACTCTTGGGAGCAGACACTGCAGGTCATGTCCACACTGGAACAAAACCACTTAACAGTTTTTCCTTCAGTTTTTCCTTCTCTAGAATTTGGTCTGTGGCAGATCGCTGAGTTCGAGATCTACAGAGTGAGTTTCAGGACAGCCAGGGCTACACAGAGAAACCCTGTGTCAAAACAAAAAAAACAAAAAGCAAAATTTTGGCCTGTGCTTGCTGCTGTGCTGTTTAAATTTTGTTTTGTTTTACTTTGTTTTGTTTTGGTTTTTGGTTTTTTGAGACAGAGTTTCTCTTAGTGGTTTTGGAGCCTATCCTGGAACTTGCTTTGTGGATCAGGCTGGCCTCGATCTCACAGAGATCCGCCAGCCTCTACCTCTTAAGTGCTGGAATTAAAGGCATACACCACCATCACCTGGCTTATTTTTTTAATAGTGTTATTCACAGGTTTTTTAATATACATTTTATTTATTTATTTAATTTCTATGTGGGAAGGGGTTGGGTTTTCGCGACAGGGTCTCACCCTCCAGCCCAGGCTGTCCTCAGTCTCCCGAGTACTTCGATTGCAGGTATACCCTACCCTGCCTAGCTGTGTTTATTTCCTTTACTGGACTAATAGAATAAGAACCAAGGACAGATTTTTTTAGTAACTTATTTTTATTTTATGTGCATTGGTATGAAGGTGTCAGATCCCCTGCAACTGGCTCTTCAGACAGTTGTGAGCTGCCATGTGGGTGCTGGGAATTGAACCCGGGTCCTCTGGAATAGCAGTCAGCTTTCTTAACCACCGAGCCATCTCTCTAGCCCCAATTTATTTTTATCTTATGTGCATTGGTGTTTTGCCTGCGTGTATGTCTGTGTGAGGGTATTGGGTCCCCTAGAACTGAAGTTATAGACAGTTCTAAGTTGCCCTGTGGATGATGGGAATTGAACCCGGGTTCCTTGGAAGAAAAGTCAGTGTTCTTAAACTGCTGAGCCATCTCTCCAGCCCCCCAAGAACAGATATTAAGAGATACATTTATTTTTGATTGACACATAGTGATTGTACATATCTGTTCGGCACTGCGACATTGCCTGCCAAGTTTGTTTATGTGCATGTGTGCTTGTCCCTGTGTAAGGGAGTCAGAGGACAGACAGCCTTTGGGTCTCACTTCTCACCTGTCTAGCCGTCCAGGTTAGCCACTCAGGAATCTGCAGAATCCCAGTCCCTGCCTCCAATCTCCCCATGTGGACACCCAAGGATTACATGGTTACAACAGCTAGATTTTATGTGGGTTCCGGGCATCTGACCTTAGAACAAACTTGCATGGCAGACACTTTTACCCATCAAGGTGTCTCCCCATCCCATCCCCCAGTGTGTGTGTGTGTGTGTGTGTGTTTGGTTGGTTTTTGTTTTATTAGCTCTTTTGAAACAGGGTCTCTCTTTGTAGTCCTGGTTCTCCTGGAACTCACCCTGTAGACCAAGCTGTCTTTGAACTCACAGAGATCCACCTACCTTTGCCTCCCGATGTGCAGGGATTAAAGGCACTGCCACCATGCCTGGCTCCCACAAAGTACATATTTGATGATCATTCCATCAGCGTTCCCTAGCCTAGGGACATGCAACAGTCTTTCATTACATCCTGCATGAAGGAAGGAAGGCATGTGCAGTGCTCTGCAGTAACACGCTGTAAAGATTAGGCAACTTAGAACTATACCTGACATCCGTCGCTTTCATGTTTGCTTTTCTGTGTGATTTTTTTTAAATATTTGTCAAAACCATTTAATAATCACGTGAGTCCACATGGGGTCTACCTGACAAATCTGATGGCATACAAAACAAAGTGAGTCTAACCAAGAAAACCGTGAGTTCTGAATCTAGTCAACACCTAAGAACAGGCCTGGGGAGAAGGCCCAGGGTGTGGCTGAATTCTGCAGTAGAGTTGCCTTGGTTACCAGTGCAAGCCAGAACTCAGTGGCGGGAGGGGTGGTGACTGCAGATGGAGCAGGTCACCTGCAAAGCAGAGGAGGAATCGGCAAAGATGAGATGACATTTTCCACCGTGGAGATCAGCAAGGACCACCAGTCCCCGTCATGGATGCCACATAGAACAGTATTCCAGACTCATACCATCAATTGTGACCCCTTTGATCCTACCTGAGACTCCCCTAGAATCTTTAGAAATTACCAAAGGTTAGTGGTGCCTGCTAGCGTGTGCCTGTAATGGCAGCACTGAGCAGGTAGAAGAGGGATGGTCACAGGTTCAAAGCCAGCCTCAGCTGCATAGCAAATCCCTGCCTCTAACATTGGTGTCGCATTTGCTCTTGGCTTTTGCCTGCCCTCTCTAGCCTTAAATCACCCCTGATTTCTGCAAGACCGGATACAGTCCAGATGAGAAGCTGGACCACTTGAGTTCCCACCAATGCCGGAGGCTTTTTGTCTCCAGCGCTTATTGGTTCTTAGCGTCTCAGTGGGCATGAAGTAGCAGCTGGGTCTTCATCTCCCTAATGATCAATAGTGCTAAACTGCTCATAGCTTAAAACAAAACAAAATAACAACAACAACAACAACAACAGGATCTAGCTGTGTGGCTCTGGCTGTCTGGAATTCCAGTTCCAGGAAATCTGCTCCCTCTTCTGAGCTCTGTGGCCATCAGGCATGCACGTGGGGCACAAGCATACATGTAGACAGAACTGTTGTGCACAAAGAAAAATAAATATAATTTAAAAATAGTGTATGTGACAGAGCTTTCCCTTCTACCTTACTGGGACATTTCTCTCATATCCATTCCTGCCTTTTTGCCTGACTTTGCTTTATCTTGCTGCTGTTTTGGTTTGGTTTAGAGGAACTCAATGTCCCCCTGTTAGCCAGTCCTGGGATCAGTGTCCTCCTGCTTCAGCCTCCAAGTGAGTTTCCACGTCATAACCATGACTTTACATATACAGGGTGTGTATGTTGGTTTTTGCCAATACAACACAAGCTGACATCATCTAAGAGGGACCCTCGGTTGAGAAACAGCACCCATCCGATGGCGCATAGGAAAGCCTGGGGGCATTTCTTGATTGGTGACTAATGTGAAAAGGGTTAGCTCACTGTGGGCAGGGCCATCCCTGGGATGGTGGTCCTGGGGTATATAAGAGAAGACTGAGCCCCTGAGGAGCAAGCCTGGCAGCAGCATTCCTCCATGACCCCTACTCTGTTCTCGCCGCCACCTGCCTGTCCTGACTTGCCTTTTGTGGGAATGAAGTCTCTCCTTCCAGGTCAGATTGGGTCATGGTGTTCATCACCGCCACTGAAAGTCACTAAGACGCAAGCAAGCATCCTGCAGAGTTGCCCCGGCCCGGCTCTTTATCTCTTGTCTACCCGTAAACTGAATTTCCCTGCTCAGAATGTCCCAACTATCTTTTCTTTCTTCTCACTTCTGATCCAAGTTCATTTGATTTCAATTTGTAAGATGAACAAGAATGCAAAACTGAGGTTGGCTGTGGCAAAATATCCGAATAATCCCAAGATTTGGGAGGTTTGGGCTAGATGGTCTTTAGCTGAAAATCATTCTGGAATACATAGGTAGACCCTGTCTCAGAAAAGAGGAAAATGCCTGCCCTGAGTATTTCCGTTTCTTCATTTTGTAGACCAGGTTGGCCTCGAACTCACGAGGTCTGCTGCCCGCCTGAGTGCTGGAATTAAGGATATGCACCTCTTTGCTCAGCTGGCATGTTTGCATCTCTTGTGAAACAAAAAGAGATTCACAGTAGCTCTTAGGATTTGTTTTTAAAAAGAAAAGAAAGGCCGGCTAAGCTATTCCATGAGGGTAGGCTGTGCGTTGTAATGCCGCATTTTCTCTCTAGAGGGCACTGCTGGAGAAGAAGCAGAGAAAGAAGCGCCTTGAGCCACTTATGGTCCAACCAAACCCCGAAGCCAGGCTGCGCCGGTTAAAGCCTAGAGGTGGCGAGGAGCACACACCTTTGGTGGACCCTCAGACGCCTCGCAGCGATGTCATCCTACATGGTGTGTATTTAGACAGTGCCTCCCACGTATGGCTTAAGTACGATTTTCATAGACCCAAGATGAGGCCGGAGAATGCAGACACGGTGCACAAAGACAGTACCAGCTCCCTTCCTAAGATCCTGCCTTATTTTTATAATCACGTTCTGGGTCTTTGGGAAGAGAAATCGTGGAAGATGCCTTCAAGTTTATGTCCAACCTAGAATTATTGATTTTGATGCAAAGTGAATGGCACTGTCCGAAATGAATGAATGAATTCTCAAAATGAATGAAAAGTCTGGCCCTGAGCCACACGCCCAGCCTTGGCCTCACTCCTAGGTTCTGAAGTACAGTTTGAGTAGCCAAGCCTGTTGGTAGACTCGGTCCCTGACCTGGACACACGTGCTTATGACGTTAAGGAAGGAGAACTGAGGTGGCTGGGTAGCCCTTGATTGGCCGCATCCCGCAAAGCACCCAGCTCACTTCCGGTCCACAGTCACTCTTTCTTCGCGCTCCTAGGCATCGATGGGCCAGCTGCTTTCCTTAAGCCAGAGGCTCCGGATTTGGAAAGCAAGCCTCATGTTCTCTCAGTGGGCTCCCCTGCTCCGGAAGAGGCCACCGACCGAAGTGCAGGTGGGGAAAGCCCTCCAGTGGAGACCGCCTCCAAGCCAGACCTCCAGGAGATTCTCCAAAAACACGGTGAGGGTGACGCTCGGTTTATGGCAGGGTGCGGGCCTTCCTCTCGTCGGCTTGGAGTCTAAGTGACCCAGACTTGGGTAGTGTGGCTTGGGTTCCAGCATCTTTGACATCTAAGGTGGAAGGGGGGATACTTGGCAACAGTCGTCATTTGTGCTGTTGTCTGAGAAGACAAGATAATGAAATACAGAGTAGTCATTATCACATATGACTTTTCATTTTGCCCTTTTTTTTTTTTTTCTTAAACCTACTTTCTTTCGAGACAGGGTTTCTCTGTAGCTTTGGAGCCCATCTTGGAACTAACTCTTGTAGACCAGGCTGGCCTTGAACTCACAGAGATCAGCCTGCCTCTGCCTCCCGAGTGCTGGGATTAAAGGCTTGTGCCACCACCACCTGGCCTTATACCTAGTTTCTTTTTCTTTTCTTTTTTTCCCCTTAAGACAAGGTCTTGCCATGTGACCCAGGCTGGCTTCCAATCTGAGATCCTCCTGTCTCAACCTCTTGAGTGCTGACACCGTAGACATTTATCACCTTGCTTGGCTATATAACTTGTCCTTCAAGTGAGGACAGTGAAAGCCAGCAAGGAATTAGTGTATGCTAGGTGCTTGCCTTGCCAGCCCCTCCTGGAAGAGTGGTTCATCCGTTAGAAATAGCTTCTGAGAGTCGGGGAGCTGGCTTACTGGTTAAAGACACCCGCTGCCAAGCCCGACAGCCAGAGTTCAATCCCTGGAACCCCAAAGGGAGGAGGAGGATTACCCTCCATACTCACCTGGCAAACCTGTCAACCTGAGTTTAAACAGAGCCCATGTGGGGGAAGGAGAGAAGCACTCACAGAATAAACAAATTAAAATGTAACTTTTAAAGGTTTAAAGAAGAAAATGGGTTCTGTGCGAAATTGTATGGAGCTTTATTCTCAGATGTCCTCGTGGAACGTTTATTCTGGCTGAGGCTTTGGGGTCTGGGGAATGCAACCCAGACGGTGGAGCGCTTGCCTAGCAAGCCTGAAGTCCTGGGTTTGATTCCCAGCACTGTGTGTAGAGACACGTGCTTGTATTCCCACCACTTGGAAGGTGGAGGGAAAGCGTTCGTTCAAGGTTCTCCTTGGCTGTATAACAAGTTCAGGGCTATCCTGGACTACATGAGACCCTGTTTGAAGAATAAGTAAATGTGGGTTTGTGTAAAAAAGGTGCCTGAGAGTCCCTGGAGAGCCCCTAACCCAGACAGAGTGGTTGGCAAGCTGCCCAGAGAAAGTGCGAGGGCCTACAGCAGGAACTGGCCCATTGAGGTGACAGTGGAGCATGGAGCAAGATGCAGGAGGGTGGGAGGGAGCATGGGTAGGCTCAGAGGGGCTATTGCTGGCTATAGAGATGTAGGCATACACCTTTACTCCCAACACTTGAGGAGGCAGAGGCAGGAGGATCTCTGTGAGTTCAGGGCCAGCCTGGTCTACATAGAGAGTTCCAGGACAGCCAGGGGTTCCATAGTGAGCCACTCGTCTCAAAAAACAAAACAAAGCAAATGCTAGTTCCGTAGAATATGGGAGGCCACAGCAAGACTTTGGAGTTTGCCTAAATCATAATGGGAGGCTGTGGTGGTGGTGGTGAGACAAGGTATATGTAGCCCAGGCTGGTCTCCAGCTTGTTATGTAGCCAAGGATAGCCTTGACTGTAGTAATAGGAGCGGTGGGGCTGTGTCCCCAGCACCCCAGCCGCCTGCTAGCTTATGCCCGAAATAATTACACAAACACTGTATTCTTTTAAACACTGCTTGGCTCATTAGCTCTAGCCCTTACAGGCTAATTCTCATATCCCGATCAACCCATCTCTAATAATCTGTATAGCATTAGTCTTACCGGGAAAGATTCATCCTATGTCCATCCTGGGTTGGAGCTTCATGGCCTGTGTCTCAGCAGAGCTATCGCATCTACCCGGGAGAGGAGAGCATGGTGTCTCTGAACTCACTTCCTCTTCCTCCCAGCATTCTGTTCTGTTTATTCCTCCCACCTATGTTTTCACCTATCAGGGCCAAGCAGTTTCTTTATTGCTTAACCAATGAAATCAACAGATTGATATATGACACTCCCACATCACTTGACTTTCTGATCCTTCTGTTCTGCCACTGTCCTCTGAGTACTGGGATTATAGACATGCACTACCATGTCTGGTTCCAGTTAGCAATTTATTATTGCATTTTTATTTGTGTGTGTGTGTGTGTGTGTGTGTGTGTGTGTGTGCCGTACACACATGTGGCAGTCAGGCAACTTTAGGGAGTCAGTTCTTTGTTTCCACCATGTGGATCCAGGAATCAAACTTAGGTTGTCAACCTTGGCAGCAAGCACCTTTGCCCACCGAGCCATCTCGCTGGCCCCAGTTGGAAAGGTTTGAAGCAAGAAAAAATTGAAAACTTCTTTATTTCCAGTGTGATCTTCTCAGACAACAGACGGCTGACAGGCTTTCCTTTTCTGCCAGGCATCCTGGGTAGCGTGAACTATGACGAGGAGACCGACAATGAGGAAGAGGAAGGGGACAATCTCAGCTCCCCGTCAGCTCATTCGGAAAAAGAGAGTTCTGTGGCCGGCCAGAAAGCAGCCTCGGTACGTGGCGCTGAACCAGTGTCCTTTTGCAGCTGCTGTGACCATCCTCAAACATGGAGAACTGTTTACACCGAGGCTCGTGATGCTCCCTTTGACTCACCAGATCGGGAGGGGACTGAAGACTGGCAGGATTTTGTCGCCAAGTGTCTGACCCAGGACTTGAAGTTTGTACCCGATTCTGGTTGCTCACAGAAAACTCTGTTTTCAGGAGACGGGAGCTGCTGGTGTCACAGCCCAGCAAAGCGATGCCCAGCTTGGAGAAGTGGAGAATTTAGAGGACTTCGCATACAGCCCTGCCCCGCGGGGTGTCACCGTGAAGTGTCGAGTAACTCGGGATAAGAAAGGCATGGACCGCGGCCTCTTCCCCACTTACTATATGCACCTGGAGAGGGAGGAGAACCGGAAGGTATGGGGTCCATCGTAGGCTGTTCTCTTCTTTTCTCTGAGCACTGGTGATGAAATGTCATCCACGGCAGGCAGACACCCCTCTGCTAAGCCCTTAACCCCCAGATGATCCTGAGAGAACAAGGCTGTCGTGGGAATTGGTTATGCCTGGGGAGTCCCACTAGTTAGACAGCGTCATCTGATAGTGGGCTGTGTACCCAGAAGTCCTGTTCTTAGTGTCTCATGTCAGAACTAGTCATGGTCAGGATCTCTGATTCCTCACCCCTGCCCACCCTCAAGAAAAGCTTCTGTCCACAATGTAAGGAAGTGGAGAGTGTTTCCCCGCGCTACGATGGAGCTCAGGCCCCTGTACACCTGTAGCTGCCCCACCACGGAGCTGCCCCAGCCCAGCAAGAGCGCAGGAGTGTGCGTGTTTTCACCTCCCTATCTTTCTCTTTCTTGATGTGGAACTCATGTAGCCCAGGGTGACTTGTTGAGTTTCAGATCCTGCTGCCCTGGCCTTCCAAATGCTGGATTTCGTTTGTTTGTTTATTTTTGTTTGTTTGTTTGTTTGTTTGAGACAGCCTCTGCCTGGCAATCCTGAAACTCAATCTGTAGATAAGGCTAGCCTTGAATTCAGAGATCCACCTGCCTCTGCCTCCCAAGTGCCACCACCACCACCACCACCTGGCTATTTTGTTTTTTGTTTGTTTTAGTTTGGTTTTTGAAACAGGATCTGTCTCTGTAACTCTGGCTGTCTTGGAACTCTCCAGGTAGACCAGGCTGGCTTTGAACTCACAGAGATCCTCCTGCCTCTGCCTCCGGAGTGCTGAAAGTAAAAGTGTGTACCACCATGCCTGTCCTAAGATCCACTTCTTTGCACAGAGAGATACTGGTGAACACTTGTGGTCTCACTGGACTTGGGTTTGACTGACATTTTTCTTCTCTCAGATATTTCTTCTTGCTGGTAGGAAGCGGAAAAAGAGCAAAACCTCCAACTACCTGATCTCCACAGACCCGACAGACTTGTCTCGTGATGGGGAAAGTTACATCGGCAAACTCAGGTGATGACGCCTCAGCTGGCCAGCCCAGTCTTGTGTAGTTCTGTAACCCCAGGATAATCGCTGTTTTATCCCCCACACCCCTTGTTCTCTGTCACTGAGGATTGAACCAAAGGCCTCACACATGTGAAGCAATTGCTTTACCACCGAACTACATCCCAAGCCTTTGCTATTGTTTTTTGTTTGTTTGTTTGTTTTTAAGTGATTCAGTTATACAGATGTGTTCATCTTAAAAAGAAAAACTTTAGCCAGGCAGTGGTGGTGCAGGCCTTTAATCCCAGCACTTGGTAGACAGAAGCAGGCAGATTTCTGTGAGTTCAAGGTCAGCCTGGCATACAAAGCTAGTTCCAGGACAGCCTGGACTGTTACACAGAAAAACCCTGTCTTAAAAAAAAAAAAAGAAAAAAGAAAAAAAAAATTAAAAGAAAATGTTGAGGCCAGTCACTATCTCACACACCTTTAATACCAGAATCTGGAGACAGAGCAGGTGGACCATGATTTCCAGGCCAGCTAGGCTAGTTAAAATAATAATAATTTATTTTATTAAATTGTTTATTAATTGTTGGGCTGGAGAGATGGCTCAGCAGTTAAGAGCACTGGCTGCTCTTCCAGAGGTCCTGAGTTCATTTCCCACCAACCAGATGGTGGCTCACAACCATCTCTAATGAGATCTGGTGCCCTCTTATGACCTGCAGGCATACATGGAAGGAATATTGTATATATAATAAA